GCATTTTCAATGCCTATACGATGTATGTCTTTCCAAAATAAGTGGGGGATAAGCCCCCTCCCCTTGCCTTTCGCCCGGTTTCGATGCCTATGCTATACCCAAACAATGGATATGTATTTACATTACCGGTATGACGTTGAAAACTATCAATAATTGAATTAATTAAATTAAAACAGATGAAAACTACAAATTTTTAAGTACAGTAAAACGTATGAGAGAGAAAGATTTTTTTCATAGTCTTGAAAAATCAAATTGCCCCTCTTTCTTAAGATAAATACTTTGCTGTAAGTCGTTCACTTTTACCCCCCCCCCCCCCCCCATCTACATATTACAGACTAGAAATTTTAGAAAGAAACGGCAATAATAATATTAAACAATCATCTCTCTATTTTTTCTAAAAGACCCATTTCCCTTTTATGATGTTAATCAAAACCTTAAATATTCAAAAGTCAATATCTTAGGTCCTGATTTGACCTTATCACCAAAAAGTTATCCAACTAGGGTCAATTATTTATCATACCGATTATTTCTAAGATTATCAAGCAAGCTTTACATTTTTTTTTCAAAGTGCGATAATATGATCGATATTAACGCGCTTTGAAAAGAAATTTGATTTTTTCAAAGTGCGTTAGCTTGGTCCCAAATTTAACGCACTTTGAAAAATTTTTTCAAAGTGCGTAATTTTTCAAGTGCGTTGTAACAAACCATGGTCAATGACCTTGTGTCCTATATGCTAAAATAGTTTTTTGGAACTTTGTTGCCGACGGGCGCATGGTGTTTCACAAACACATCTTGTTTTAAGGACGGATGATACAAACAAACTTTTGTCAAAAATTTTGAAAATAACAACTTGGGTCATGTTTTAAGAATAAAATGAATAGGTTTCACCGCGTAGTTTTTAATTTTTTATTCTAATTTGCACAAACATGGAATTTGAAGTAAAGTCAGGGATCATAAACATGATTTAAATACCACCATTAGTGCATTTCAAGAATATTTCTCGAATTCAGAAGGGTAGAATTTGAATGTCACAGAAGGTTTACAATTTCTTTATATTCTAGAAATTTATTATTTGCATCAGTTGCATACCAATCCAGGCATCCATTTTTTGTTTGTATCATCTGTCTTTAATGAGGATGTTCACTGCATTTTTGTTTTTGACAGTAAATCCTCAAAGTTTGCATATAGAGGAAAGACCTACTTTTTTTTGTAAAAATAATTTTTTATGAAATATTAATTATTAGAATCTTTTCGAGAAATATTCTTGAAGTGCATTAAGTCAGGGATCATAAACATGATTTAAATACCACCATTAATGCAGTTCAAGAATATTCCTCGAATTCTCGAAAAGAAAGACTTGTGTAGTTTCGTGGTTAGCGTGCAGTCTGGTCTCCAAAGAAACAGTTAAGGTTCGAACCCGACGGATACCATTATATTTTTATTTTTAAAAAATTTGCCGTGAAATATTTTCCTCGAAAAAATTCTTATAATAAATACTTAATTCATAAAATGAACACGTGTTTTATATATGTGAAACTATTGGTTTTCTGCACGCTATGTTCGCAAATCTTAGCTGCAGATCTGTAGCGTTATGGTTTTATATAGTAGTCTGTTATGGTCAAGAATATCATATATAAGTAAAAATAATCACAATAACAATATTGAATGTCTATAAAAAATCTCATATTTGTAAATAAAAGAAAAAAGATTTCACACTTTCAATTGAATTTTGATTCTGTTGTACAAATAGAGAAAAGAAAAGAATATGATATAGGAGGTAAAAGTAAAAATTTAATCAACAATAACAATATTGGGAATGTCTATAAAAAAAAATCCATCAAAGTTTCGTATAACATATAAATGAATCTTCAATTCTTCATTTCGATGCTTTACATACATTGGTAAAATTACACATATGTAGTATGCTGAAAGACTTTACTGGGTTTGGTTTGGTTTGAACATATTTTATTGTTAAGATGTTAATTATAACAAAAGGATTGGACACAAGTACTTAATACTTAGAACGTCCTCTCCTTAACTTTACTGGGCTAGATTACGCGTATTTATATTTGCGTAGTACAGTTTTTTTTTAACATTTTGTAGTATTACATGTGTATGTGGTAAACTACAATAATAACAAATGAGACATTCAACAATTGAGTATTTGAAATACTCACAAGTCAAAATCTATATGTAGTACATAATTATAACGACACGCCAGAAATTTCTGTTTTCGTGTGCACATCTTCGTTTGCCAAGGAAGAAGTTCCGCTCAGACTCTGCTTTCTTCAGCAATTTAAAGAAAAAGATGCCATTATGCAATAAGAATGGGATGAAAATTAAGGGCAAGTTAATCATGTTGGATTTCAAGGTCAAATTATCCGGCACCTTTTCGGGACAAATGGACGAAAAGGGGTAATACGCAGAGCTGCGGTTCTTGGCTTAAAATTTTGAATTGAATGGAGAGGTAGGGAAAAAAACCAAATAAAAAAAAATAAAAAAAAAAAATATAGTGCTCAATCGGTCGGACACCCAACTCCAGTATTGTTTGTTGGCTTAGCCATTGGTTTTCGCCTTAAGTTCATTAGAATTTGTATCTTTCTTCAAACATCTCTTTTTAAAACTAGAATAAAAATATTTCATAGTCAGTATGTCTGCCAAACAGATAAGAGCAATGATTCCAAAAATGTTCCAAAGGGACGGTGGAGGCCGACGGACTACGAACGTCTGCCGGAAGTTGATGTCCCAGATGACACCATCCAAGTGATTCTGAGTACACAAGACGAACAGGATATGAAAGATTTGGTGGCTGTTTCCTATGAAGTCAAAAGTCCCCGGTGAGAGACGTTCTGGGAGTTTTGTAGAGTAGAAGAAACAGACGCCAATCATACTGGCCATTTGTTTAAGATGGTGAGCGATCCCGTCCGTCCACTCGTAGTTCCAGATTCTATGGAGAATTGGAATGTTGGACAAAAGATATATTGCACCTGGACCCGAAACTGTTAAGGCTGTCGAATTAAGTTCATGAAGTTTAGCTTTGGACATCGATCCAAAGGCGGTACTTAGTATAGCAAGTACTGAACCGAAGTAAAACACGTTCCTCAGAAGAACCGACTCCAAGAAACACTGATCCAAAGAATAATAGTAGTGGGTAAGTATGGAGCCGTATCCAAAGAGACCGATACATGCATAATCTGCCATAAACAAACAACAGTTCACTTGCATAGATTTGTGAGAAAACATGTGCGCGGTACTACTGGTGATGAACATGACCGTAAAAGAGAGAACTGTTGCTAAAAGGGGCCACGTGTAGGGGTCACCAAGGTCAAAGTTGACACATATTTGGTACAGACGTGACATCATCAGAAGCGTGCCCACGACATGCGTCCAGACATTGAGAGTCTCCATGTTCTTGTAGAAGACGCTGTAGAGGTAGTATGTCCATGGCTCGTGAATATAGCGGTACCCTGCCTCTATGTATGGCACGTGGAAATAGGCCGGGACCCGGGATTTAGGGAAGGTCTTCTTGTATAACTCGCCCTGAAACATAGCCTACAGATAGTTAATCAATGATTATAAAATATTTATACAAAACAGTTTGAAACATCCGTTACATTAATTAAAGCAATATGAGCTGCATTTTCGAGAATTTTATTTTGCTGGTTAAATGTGTTATTATGATTAATTTGTATATTATTTAAACCCTTTATATGACAAATAAGACCACCATAAAGTTTTAAAATGTTTTAGAAGGATTATTTCTTTACAATCGAATATACAGTATTGCATAAGAAGTCATTATTGTACAGGATGACAATAATGCAATTTTGCTTCAATCAGAGCTTATAAAAAGTTCTTCCATCGCATTTATGAACAACAGAAGTTTATAAATGTTGTATTTTTCTGTCATTGAAATAGTTCATTACAAATTTGCAACAAAATTTTCCGATGTCATACATGCAGCTCATATTCCATCCTCCTATGATGTCATATGTTTTTGCAAAAACTCTGATTAATTTAAATTCATATCCAATAGAATAATATCTTTTGGAAGAATTCTATTCAATAGGTGTAATGATGAAAATTGATATTAAAGTAAAATATTTTTAATATGCATATTTGCTTCATTTAAGCAATTATTCAATCTTTAAAAAAAAAGCTGACAGGGAAAATAACTCCTCAAGTATCTTCATTCAGGCATTTTTAGGTCACCTGAGTAACTCAGGTGACCTATTGCTATCCGTTTTCGTCCGTCGTCGTGCGTCGTGTTAACATTTGAACATTTTCAGCTTTTTCTCTGAAACCACTGAACCAATTTCAACCAAATTTGGTATACAACATCTATGGGTAAAGGGAAACAAAAATTGTGTTATGCTCCCCGCCCCCCTGGGGCCTGAGGGGTGGGGCCAAGACCACTAAAATTATTGCAATCTTTAAAAATCTTCTTCTTTACTCCTGGACATCAAGCAGACAAACTGTTGGTATGAATGTAATGAGCATTGAGTCCTCTACCAAAATTGTGAAATTCATGGCCCCAGGGTCAGGGGTTCTAGTGCTAGGGTGGGGCTATATAGATTATATAGTGAAAATGCATGATTTCTTTGAAAATCTTCTTCTCTGCTCCTGGGTATTAAGTAAAGTAACCAAGCACATAATTATCATGAGCAAGAGTGCCTCTTCCAAAATCGTGAATTTTATGGACCCAGGGCCAGGGGTTCTGGTGTTAGGGCGGGGCTCTATTGATTATATAGTGAAAATGCATTTATTCTTTGAAAATCTTCTTTTCTGCTTCTTGGTATTAAATAAACTAACTAAGTATATAGTTATGATGAGCAAGAGTGCCTCTTCCAAAATTGTTAATTTTGTGTCCCCAGGGTCAGGGGTTCTGGTGTTAGGGCGGGGCTCTATTGATTATATAGTGAAATACATTAATTCTTTGAAAATCTTCTTCTCTGCTCCTGGGTATTAAATAAACTAAGTAAGTACATAGTTATGTTGAGCATAAGTGCCTCTTTCAAAATTGTGAATTTTATGGCCCCAGGGTCATGGGTTCTGGTGTTGGGGCGGGGCTCTATTGATTACTAGTATATAGTGAAAATACATTAATTCTTTGAAAATCTTTTCCTCTGCTCCTGGGTTTTATGCCAATGATCCAAGTATATATATTTATGATGAAGAAAGGTGCATCTAGCAAAATGGTTAATTTTTATGCCCCCCGCGGGTCGGGGATGGGGGGAATGGGGGGTTACATAGTCTGAAAATAAATTAATGCTTTGAAATCTGCTTTTTGGTATTAATCAACCATTTTATGATAAAATTTGCAAAATTTTGAAATATGTTGCCCAAGGGTCAGTGGTTCCTTTGGGATGAGGTGCACAACTGGTTATAAAGGGGAAGTGCATTTTCTCTTTGTTACTCTGATCTACCTACTGGGTATTAAGTAAATAGAGTAAGCATGTTAAGTTTATAATTGTGATAAGCAATGGTGCCTCTTTCAAAATAGTGAATTGCGAATTTCATGGCCTCTGGTTTAAAACACGAACCAAATTTAATTGTTTGAAAGTTGTTACACAATACTCAGGTGACCTATAAGGCCCGTGGACCTCTTGTCCTTATTGTACTTCTAATGTAAAAAAGTTTCCCCGATATTCATAATTCAAAAGTATCTTATAAGTAGCAAGTTTTAGGAACTTTCAGCATCAGAATTATGCATTTGAACCAGTTTTTACATAATTTTTATGATGCTGTTTACAAGAAATGTACGATTTTTATGTTGACATATACTTCTGTTTATTTATGCCTCCCGTCTGAAATAATATGGCGACATATACATTTTTTGCGATAAATGGAACATTTAAACTTTATTAAATGAAATTAAATACAGTTTTTAGCTCACCTGAGCCGAAGGCTCAAGTGAGCTTTTCTGATCAAAATTTGTCCGTCGTCTGTCGTTGTTGTCGTTGTCGTTGTCATCGTAAACTTTTCACATTTTCATCTTCTTCTCAAGAACCACTGGGCCAATTTCAACCAAACTTGCTACAAAGTATCCTTGGGTAAAGGGGATTCAAGTTTGTTCAAATGAAGGGCCCTTTTCAAGGGGAGATAATCATGAATTTGTTAAAAAATTAATGGCATTTTTAAAAATCTTCTTCTCAGGTAGTGTAGATTCAAGTTTGTTCAAATCATGACCCCCGGGGCTAGGGTGGGGCCAAAATGGCCGACCCAAGTTTTACATAGGAAGTATATGGGAAAAATCTTTAAAAATCTTCTTCTCAAGATCCACTGGGCCAGGAAAGATGTAACTCATGTGGAATCATCCTCAGGTAGTGTAGATTCAAGTTTGTTCAAATCATGACCCCCGGGGCTAGGCTGGGGCCAAAATGGCCAACCAAAATTTTACATTGAAGTATATGGGAAAAATCTTTAAAAATCTTCTTCTCAAGAACCACTGGGCCAGGAAAGATGAAACTCATGTGGAATCATCCTCAGGTAGTGTTGATTCAAGTTTGTTCAAATCATGACCCCCGGGGCTAGGGTGGGGCCAATATGGCCGACCAAAATTTTACATAGGAGTATATAGGAAATATCTTTAAAAATCTTCTTCTCAAGAACCACTGGGCCAGGACAGATGAAACTCATGTGGAATCATCCTCAGGTAGTGTAGATTCAAGTTTGTTCAAATCATGACCCCGGGGGGTAGGGTGGGGCCAAAATGGCTGATCAAAGTTTTACATAGGAATATAAAAATCTTCTTCTTAAGAACCACTGGGCCAGGACAGATGAAACTCATGTGGAATCATCCTCAGGTAGTGTAGATTCAAGTTTGTTCAAATCATGACCCCCTGGGTAGGGTGGGGCCAAAATGGCTGATCAATGTTTTACATAGGAATATATAGGAAAAATCTTTAAAAATCTTCTTCTCAAGAACCATTGAGACAGGAAAGATGAAACTCATGTGAAATAATCTTCAGGTAGTTTAAATTCAGATTTGTTCAAATTATGACCCCCGGGGGTTAGGGTGGGGCAAAAATGGCCAACCAAAGTCTTACGTAGGAATATATATAGGGAAAACTTTTAAAATATTCTTTTCAAGTACTTCAAAGCCATGATTAGTGATATTTATATGGAATCATCCTTAGGTAGTGTAGATTCTAGTTTGTTTAAATCATGACCCCCTGGGGGGGTTAAAATTCAAGCCCCCCCCCCCCCCCAGCACCTCCCCCTCAGTAAACTTTCAGTTCTGATCAGATATGTGCTTTTTCCTAGCTGATGTGCTCAGGTGAGCGCTGTGGCCCCTGGGCCTCTTGTTATACTTTGAACCATTAGAATTGTGAGGGTGGAAAGAACTTAAGCCTTTTGTTGTCAAATGCGGGAAGAAGGCAGTATGTTCAGATGTTTGGTTGAATATGCTCTATGGAAAATTACATTGATTTGAAATGTATGCACAACAATGCAATTTGCCTGGGTGGGTTGGGGTGTTCAGGCACTATCTTTAATAAAGAAAAGGAATATTTCATATTTATGTTGCAACTGAGGGAAGGACAGGGTTTTTCAAATTAGGAGGGCACCACCGCCGTATTACATGGTGGTGAGAGCCCCATATGTATGTTTGATTAACACAGTAACCTGTTAAACACAATCCATCGATTACAGTACATGAATACACCCAAAGGCAACAAGTACTGGGTATATTGACTTATTGTTACATGCAGTCGGATCACACTGGGGTGTCCGAGTTATACATGTCATGACTGATCGATTTCTGTAATACTGTGAAGTTACTGATCTCTGTATATACGGACTTTAATTTCCGTGTTTGTCTTTGTACATAAAATGTTGGTATAGCGTAAATAGGAACGAAATCTAGATGAAAACATGAATGATTTTAGTTGTACAGTCATGCATGATGTTGTGTGTAAATGAGAAGAAAAATCCCTGACATTTATCATTCATCGTCTGTCATCTGGAGCAGCCTGTATAAAATATTATGAACAATAGCTAAGAAAATTTAAAATTAACTTATGAATACCCGGTGAATGTTTGTGAAAAACTGAATACCGCTGTCCACTATACTTAGTATTTTTTTTTAAACCTACCCCTATCATAACAATTCTGGAAGGGCTTGAGCAGCTACAGGACGGAGGTCTATTTTAGTCGTAGTAGCGACACATTCCCAAACTTTTTCAATGAAACACAAAACAAAAGAAAACACTGTATAATTTCGTAAGGGGCTGAGAGTACCTGCCTTGAATAACAAAGCGCCACTATACTTAGAGATATACGTACCATGAGTTCGCGCACGCACGTTCTCTCCGTTAAGTCCCCCGATCCTTACACATATCACCTTACTAAAAGAAGATTATCATCACAGTCTCTGCTAGTACAAGACCGTGAAATTCCGTCCTTCCTTACGGATTGATAAAGTACTGTTAGAAAAAGGACACAGTGATAATCTATGAAAAATTATAGAGGATATGATAAATCCTTTTACTAAATTTAAATGTGATATTTATCTACCAGCATTTTCATATAAGAATCTTCAAGATCCTAAACGGATCCAAGAATTTTACAAAGGGGGTTGGGGTCCATA